AAGTACAAATAGGAATCCAGCAACAATAAGGAATACATAATAATAATCATATATATCAAAGGTTTGTACACATAATAATATTGTATTTTTAGGGACGAAGTCAGTCGACAGAATATTACTTAACGTTTTAGGTCGCATAGTTAAAATTAATACTTATAATAGTAATAATAATAATAATAATAATAATAGGTAGTAATAGTAATTACTGTAGTAATAATAATCATAATGTAATAATGATTTAATAATTATAGAAATGTATAGTTTGTAATAATAACGCATTCGCATAAAGGGACGGGGACAGAATATCAATAATAATAATAATATGTTCTTATAATGTACTCATATAAATATATATATATCATTATATTATTGTTAATAATAATAATAATAATAATAATAGTACATCGTGGAGTGCGTGCGGCGTTCTTAAAGCAGCGAATCGGCGTAGCTGTTCTTCTCCGTCGATATGCCCATCCGGTCYAAGACAGGAGCCCTAACCACCGAGTGCACGTGTACCGTGGCGTTCCGCAGCAGAGACGTGTTCACCTGTCGATTAGACGATGTTAGTGTTTCCGTGTAGCTCAGTTGCTCTTGTGTTCCGTTCCGGCAACACAACAACCATCTGAATGGCGGGACTTGCCTGAAAATGTTTTGAAAAACGCAAAATGTTGTAGCAATGTTAACCCGTCGTGGACGTGACCGCGGCGTCTATAACGTTCGYGATGACGCGGATAGACCGGGCAGAGGGGAATTTAGGAAAAATTACGCGGGGAAGAAATACCCACGGAAAATATGCMCKAGGAAATAATAATACCCGAAAGAAAAAACACCTTAGGAAATAATACCCGATAGAAAAAATACCCTAGGAAATAATGCCCGTATCTGACATAAATACTTTAAAAAAMAATTATTATTATTGTAAACATATCAACAGGTACAAATTTAAATAAAGTGTATATTATATTCATATTTGATATTGTTTTGAGTAAATTAAAAAATTGAATACAGTTACACCAAATAATATTTATCATAATCATATAATAATAATTCGGCAACTTTTATAAAATAATATACATCTGTTAATAATAATT